AGTTGAGGCGAAGCCACAGAATGTCCTTCCGGTCTGATTCCAAAGAAAGATCCCTGGAGCAGGAAAGACTGCTGCGGACAAAAGCCACAACTCCCCCGTTCTTTCTCAGATTGGAGTGCACCTCGTAGTTTGGGAAGTTGAGATGGTTAATCGGTGCAGTCTCTGAGATTTTTGTCTCCGCCAAGAAAAGCACGGCGGGACGATTGGATTGCAGGTAGTGATGAACAGCATCAATGTTGCTGTTAATCCCGCAGATGTTCGAAAAACAAATTTTATCTTCGATGTTGTTCCCTCGAGCCCACCCTCCACCCGGACATTCTGAGAGTGGAGTGAGTTTACGTTCGGAGTTCTTAGTGCTCGAGGGATCCATCATCATTAATTTCTTTGTTTTGGTAGATAACCGACTGCATAGCTTAGGTGTGGAAACATGCGGACATTTATAAGACACCCTGGGAAAAGCTAGCGGGTGGTACTGCCTCGGTCGACTGGTCCTTGTCTACCACCTTCTTTTTACGTGTTAGTGATGTTAAATAGACCTAAAGTGGCCCATTGGCGGACTTGTACCGCCACCCGGCAATCGGTACTGAGGTATTCCTTAACGCGTGCACAATCACTTGGACGGGAAGAAGTTGTATACTGGATACAACAACTTCCGGAACAAGCATTTGCCACGGCCCTCGCTCAGTAGGGCTGGTATATGTATATGGTATATGTACCATTTATTTAAAGGAATTTCTCATTAATACAAATAGAGAGAATTTAGTCAAAGGCGTTGGTAGGAATCAAGAGAACCCCTACATAAGTGATTTCGGGCAAAATTGATTCTCTCTCCGCCAGTATCCCTATATTTCAGTTGTAGTTCAAATTGGTATTTTGGTAGGTATAGGACACAAATATGGAAGAAAAGCAGATCAAAGATACTGGTACCTACTGTAGCTTCTGTCAAGTAGAGCCTGCAAAAACGACATAAGTCACTTAACTTATCACCGTACGTTTAAGTATGCGTTCACAGAAAAACATTTCGGAAAAATGTCCGGTGGTTTTAGAAATGACCGATTCAATTGTCTAATGGAAAATTTCTGTACTTTGAAGTCTTTAGATGAGCTACAGGGGATATTATAAGTTCTGTAATTTATCCTGCAGATGCCTCTACTTCTACGTCTGCAAAATTAAGTAATCAGAGTGATTGTTCTCAATTTTTTATCCAAATATAATTAGAATATTATATTGTCACCCTCAAGATAACTTCCTTAAGAAGCCACACATCGCTGGAGGTGGTGTTTCTACTTTTCATAGCAGTGCTGGTCGGTTACAGCCGTTTAAATGTTTTCGACTGTCCCAAAATTGAGGTGATTCATCAACTTCGGGAAGAGAAAAAAATCACAAGGGCTCATGTCAGACGAACAAGGAGACAGTGCATCCACATGAATGGTTTTACTGGCCAAAAACTCGTTTATTGCCATCGCTGTGACACAAGAATTATTAGGAACGGATACACCTAGTGAGGATGCGCCTGTTCCACGCACATCTGTTTTGGCAGGTATGATAGCTTATTTTTACTTTTTTTGTTATGCACATGAAAGGTGGCAGAAAATTCGCTTTACCGAAAGTAATACAATAGGTATCAAAAATGTTATAATTTATATTTTACTTGGTAGAAATAATTGTTCTTGAAACCACACAGGTTTTTTGGTACCGCTGTTTCGCAATAAATATGTGGTTTCAAGAACAATTGAAAAATTTTAAAATATAACTTATAACATGTTTATTATTTTTTTACAGATGAGCCCGAAGTGGATTATCGATCAAATGCTGTTGACCAAACCATAGAAGAGGTAATACGGCAAACCATTGCCGAAGAATCATCAGACAGCGCAGAAGAGCTTCTAGAAGATGAACAAGTGGGATGGAATCCAATCACTGCATCATCAGGTGTGAAGTCATTCGGTTTTACGGTACCTAAAGTAGGAGTAAATGACGATATAGTGGAACCATACTTTGCCAAAAGTCCATACGAGCTTTTCCAGTTGTTTTTCACACCTGAAATCTTACATCACATTGTCATTGAGACCACCAAATATGCATCTCAATTAAAACAAAAAATAAAAAAACCGAAATCTCGCGTTCATAAGTGGACTGATACGACCGAGGACGAGATAGAGCTATTTTTTGCCTTATTGCTTAGGATGGGCTTGTGTCGATTTCCGTCAATGGCAGACTACTGGTGTAAAGAAGACATCTACAAAAACTGTATCCCAAAGTATATGAGTCGAAACAGATATCAGTTGATACTACGAACGTTACATTTCTCGGATAATGAAAATGTCCCAGAAACAGGCGTCGATAAGCTTCGCAAAATTACACCTCTTCTAGATTTGCTTATCGAAAGGTATAAATATATTATGGTACCACCAGAAAATATATGTATTGACGAAACATTGGTACATTTCCGTGGACTTCGTCAATACATAAAAAATAAAAGACATAAATTTGGCATAAAAGTCTACAAGCTCTGTGTCAATGGGGGATACACGTACAACTTGTCTGTTTATTGCGGACAATCTAAAGCTTATGCTTAACGTTCTTGTTCAGATCAGGTTGTCTTACATCTGATGGAACCGCTTTTGAATGTTGGTAGAACCTTATACGTAGACAACTACTATACCAGTGTCAATCTCGCAAATTTATTACTAGAAGGAAAAACCCATTTAGTTGGAACCCTTAGGGATGGAAGAAAACATACTTAATAGTAAAGAGACAGAACAAACAAAAATTCGTAAAGGAGAATGCATTGCTAGAATTATGGATCCTGGGATCGTTATGCTAAAGTGGAAAGACAAAAGGGATGTTTTGGCACTTAGTAAACATCTAAATGAAATGATAGCTAAGCCAAGCCGAACAGATCCTGATAGAAAAAAACCGTCGCTAATCGTTGATTACAATATCTCCAAGGCATATACAGATCTGTCAGATCAACAAAAATCCTATAATACCCCCCTCAGGCGCGGTATAAAGTGGTATCGCAAACTGACAGTTAGTTGAGCTATTGTTGGGAACTACACTAGTAAACGCACACGTGGTGTATTTGTCACTAACACAAGATAAACAATCTATAACAGAATTCAAAAAAGATATTTTGAAGCACATTTTTGAAAAACAAACTTCCCTTGAGCCCACACCTCAACCAAATCCACACATTGATCGACATGAACTAGAGCAAACTGGCAAGCGGTTGCGTTGTACAGTATGCTACGAAAAAATGAGTGCAGAGTGTGGACGTAAAGAAGCTCAAAACAAAACTTCCAGAACGACTTGGTCTTGTTCAACCTGTAAAAAGCCCTACTGTGTGAACTGTTTCATTCACTCACATAAAAGTTATTTAGCATAAGACCTATCATTATATATAAGATGAATTTACTTCATTTGAATGCAACTTTTCCTGTAACTTCTTGTTTGTACTAATAGAGAGATATAGATATTCATAAAGACTTTGTTTGAATAAATGTTCACCTGTTCAATAAGTAATCTCCTTCTTTCATAATTTACAATAATGAAGTATATGTGGGTTTTATGTAAAAATCTGTAGCATCTGACAAGGCTCATATAGATATATAACAAAAAAAGGAATCAAACATAAGGTAAGTTTACCAAATATTGCCATAGATCCTAATAACGCCACCCCAGGAAGCGCATATTTTTCAGACATTATATGAAATCTGGCAACATGGAACGTCTTTTGGGGTAGCCATATATTCCTTGCCACGTTGTCGGTTTCAGTTGAGGTTAAGCGTCTGGTGTGGATGCGCGCCAAAAATTGTTCTAGTTCTCTGTTATAAGAAAATCATTTCATTACCTGGCGTGTGCACAATTATAACACATTACTGTTCAAATTTCTATACTGCTGCAGGTAGGTGCATAATTATAGTTATTGTTCCACAGGTTATGTATCTGATTCTGTATGTTTTTCTAAATATAAATGGAAATGTTTTCTGCATTGCATTTGTTCTTAATATTGCCATAGAATGGTATACCTAATACAGCCAGTGGCAGTATTAGGACCACCAGTGGCAATATTAGAGGCACCAATGGCAATATTAGGATCCAAGCAAGAATTCAGAAAATTCAGCTATGTTATTTGAAAATGCACGAATGTTTCCTTCCAGAATGCCAAAGACACGGGCATTGTGGACAGAAGCGGACCTCCACTCAGCATTACTGGCCATAGCAAATGGCACTTCAATCAAAAGTGCTTCCAAGCGGTATGGAATTCCCCGAACAACTCTAGGACTACATCATAGAAAACAAAATTTCAAAAAGAAGCTTGGAAGGTCCTCAGTTCTGTCTCCGGATCAAGAAAATGATCTTGTTACGAGAATTCATAGATTATCTGAAGTCGGAATGCCTATTACTAGCAAAGTTTTGATGAAAAGTGTATATACCTACGTTTGTGAAAATAACATACCGAATCCGTTTTCGAAGCAATCAAAACGTGCTGGAAGAAAATGGTTAAAGCTGTTCCTAACTAGACATCCTGAAGTATCTCGCCGGAGAGCACAACAAATGAACATTGCGCGTGCTCAAAAACTAAATAAACCTATAGTTGGTGATTGCTTCAGCAAATTAAAGGATGTTATGGAAAATATGGGCTTGTTTGACAAACCAGGTAACATATACAACTTAGACGAGAAGGGATGCAGATTAACAATACACAATCAGCAAATTGTACTAGCTAAGAGAGGGTCTAAGCGCGTACATTTAACTGCTCCTGAACATGGCGAGAACGTTACAGTTGTAGGTTGTGGAAATGCGCTAGGTCAGTCTGTGCCACCATTTATCCTTTTCAAAGGTCAAAGACTGAAACCTGAATGGTCTGATCACTTACCACCAGGCTCAAAATGTATTGTCACAAAAAAGGGTAGTATGACGTGCGAAGCGTTTGTTTTGTGGTTAAAGCACTTTGCTTCCTTCAAAAACCCTGGTCCTACTCTATTAATCTTTGATGGCGCGAAATGTCATCTTGATATTTCAATAGTTGAAGCAGCCGATAGCATGAACATAACGTTATTTTGTCTTCCAAGTAACACGTCTCATGAGTTGCAGCCCATGGACAAATCCGTTTTCAGAAGCTTTGAAACATTTTGGGATCAAGAAGTTCTGCACTTTCTAACAACTAACCCTGGCAAGACCTTGACTAAAATTAGATTTGGAGAAATTTTCACGACTGTTTGGTTGAAGGCAATGACACCATCAAACATAATTTCTGGGTTTAGAGCCACAGGGATATACCCATTCAGGCCGGATGCACTACCTGAGTCTGCTTACGCACCAAGTGCAATTTCTCACAGAGAAGAGGATAAAGAAAATCGTGAACTCGGTTTTCAAAATACTGTAGCCAGGACCGAGAGTTCCGAATCATCCGCATCGATGAATAATGTATCTAAGGCAAGTACAAGTGGGAATAAAGGACTGTTACAAAACAAGAAAGCAAAAAAAATATATCGTGAAGCATATTCTTCAGATAGCGAGCCATTATCGGACTTTAGTCTACATGATGATACATCCGCTAACACTTCTAGTGAAGATGAACCCTTGGCTACTTGGAAACACCAAAATATCAACGTGGACAGATTAAACGAATGCCATAAGCAAAGCTCATTTTCCGTAAAAAATAAACCGCCAAACACTTCTTTTGATAGCGATGATGAAGTTCCACTCATACTTCTCAAAAATAGAGAGAATATTGTCTCTAAAACAGCCATAAGCTCACCTCCAGACAATTCATTCACGGCTACAGGATTACTAATTACTCCCGAAATCAAAGTACCCACGACAAAAAGAAAGCCTGCATTGAACAGTAAAGCTCAAAAGGTCACTAAAGATTTATTTGCTCAAAATAAAGCTAAAGCAAATAAGAAACATGGAACAGCTATACATACCACTGACAAAAATAGTCCAGGAGTGGCCGACTCTTGGTTTTGTTACCTTTGTAGTACGTGCCGTAAAGAAGACATGCGCTTATGCGTGGCTTGCAACCGATATGTTCATGAAGCTTGCATAGGATTGACCAAAGAAGATAAAGAAATATTTATTTGTCCCTGTTGTAGTTGAAAATTTTTCAAGTACCTACCATTTTCATCTACGATTTTGAGTTTTAAAGTTTTATTTTATGTTATTTTTCAATATTTTGTTAATTTTACTGAATGTTTTTAATGTTCATACTATCTGGCAATAATAGGAGCACTGGTAAGCTTAATATTGTCACCAGATATTCTAATAAAGAACTACGATAAGTCCATTTGTATTCATCCTATTGAAATGCCTGAAACATATGTTATAGAAAATATATTTCTCTGTGTATATCTCAGTTTTTATTCCGTTACTGTGAAAAATGAAAATTATTTATGGCAATAACTCTTAAGGTGGCAATATTTGGTACACTTACCTTATTTATCGGCGGCTGTTTGTGGTGTCTTGTCCACTGTGCCACGCATAATTAGATTCTGTATGAAATATTGGTCGGTGAGAGCCATACGCTGTGCCACAGTAAATAGAATGATAGCAGTACATGTGGCACAAACACATGCCTCGGAACACCGACCTAACACTAAAGGGAGGCACACACCGCGTACCTCACGGCAGTCAACGTGTTAATCAATACGTCATACGCCTGGAAGAACCGAAAAGTTCTCAATTCAGTGTTTCCTGCTCTAAACAGCAACTTGACAGGCAGTCTGTTGGGCGTCGGTAACAGCCCATTGTGTTCCGATTCGTCGGAAAACGTGGGAAATTGGCGGAAAGCCGAGAGTGGGCGGTCGCCGGCGCTTATCACCAGACAATGGTATTGTTGTGTCACGGGGCGCACGCTCCATGCGAACAATACCGATCGGCGAACAACGGGGGGCGTGGCAATACGATCAACAGTATTGTTCATTTGTCCGCTGGCGTAAGCGTCGCGGTAGGCTATGGCATGCGCCAGCGTATAAAAGACATTGCCTGACTGACTACTGAAATCCTTTCAGCTTTTGCATGTGGAGAGTTAAAGTTTGAGTATCAAATCAATCGAAACTTTTCTTTACACGGCATATAAATATATCTTGAAAATGTAAGCGGTAGCTAGTAGCTTATAACCAAAGTCTTAAGACGACCGAGATATAGGTAAGGCTCCGCAAAATCAATCAAACCTAAACTTAATCCGCTGCCGTATCTCAATTAAATCAAAATTGAGAAGGCACGACGCACGTTAGTACTCAACCCAGGCCCGACAGCGTAGATGAACACACATTCACTTACCAATCGGTTCGAAAAAAAACTGCTACTGAAGCTTCGCGAATTCGTGCAGATCGCTTTCCAGGACGTTATCACTTAGGGCAGCATAGATTTGTTTACCTTGTGCAGAGAATTAGGTATTTAAGTTGTTTTGCAGGAATGTCGAGGTGGGCACCCCTGAATGGTGAAAACTGATTAAGGGGTAGGTATTGGATATTGTAGAAGAAAATTATTCAACAGGCACTAAGGAAGCGGCTAGACAATTGCAAGTCTCCAAGATTAATGTGTGATAAATGCTGCGTGGTGATGGATTGTACCGGCCCTCAAAGCTGAGGATTTTCATTCAACAGTGCGTTTTCGAGATTGGCTGTTGCAGTCCATATTAGTCACGAAAGTTTTATCGATGACAAATCTTTGCTGTTGACTTACTACTATGCATATGTACAGTCAACTTTGTCATATGGCATAATAGCCTGGGGTGTTTCCACTGAAACGAAACGAGTATTTACTATGCAAAAAAGAATAATACGTTTAATTCAAGGTCTGAGCAGAAGGTCTAGCTGTAGAGCTTCTTTCAAACACCTGAGAATACTAACTTTGCCATCCATATAAGTAGGGGAAGTCCGGGATATAAATCAATAAATTTTAGATGCATTCGTGGCATATATTTTTAGGAACCTCATTTTATCATTTAAACCTTAAAAAAATAAGTCAGAAAAAAAATATATAGTTTTTTTATTTTTTTGAAAACATGGGCAACTCTCCCACATATATTATGCGGGAGACTTGCCCACAGTTAGAAGGAGAGTTGCCCACCCCTCTTATTAAATAAAAACAAATGTAAATAATAACTTTTGTATTCGAAAAACTCAAAAAATAAAACAAAAAACTTTACTTTTTCAAGTACGAAACTAAATCTAAATCTTTGAAATCAGAATAAACATAAGTTTAATGCAAAAAACAAATAAAAATAATTTTAAAAAAGTATGAACCTTCTGGGCCATCAGAAACGAAGTCTTCTCGATATTTGATACGAGGGAATATAAAAAAGGGTGGAACAACGCTTCCAATTGCATTGACTGCAAAACAAACTGTCACCAAAGTGCCCCTCTCTGATGAAGTAACTTGACCAACCTGCTTAGCTTTTTTACTGGCCAATACCTTAGGACAATCCTGAACTGTAGTACATCCTACTTCATCACAGTTATAAATATTTTGTGGTTTAAACTTAAATTTTTCTCTTACAATCCTTAAGTTTTGAAAAAAATCGTGTACATTCTTCCGACTGAAGCTTGTAGATCGTGACAGGCTTGTTGCCTCCGGGCTTCTCAAACTAATTTCGGGATTTCTTTATAACAAACCGCGAAACCAATCCTTCCCTGCCATACTATTTTTTGACCAACTTTCTGGAATTTTTTTGGAATTCGAAACTGCAAGCTCAAAAGCTAATTTCATTCCTTGTTTTCAAGTAGATAAGTCCATAGTGCATTTTGCTGCAATTTAAAAAATATTCAACCAGAAGCTTCTCTTCTTGTATGGTGAATATTTGTGAAGTATTATACTGGCCTTTAGTTTCTACTTTTTCAAGTTTATTTTCATTGTTTTTGTAGCGTCTCAAAGTCCTCCGATCAATATCATATTTTGCAGAAGTTTTTCGAAGAATTCCTAGTTCATCTAGTGCATTTTTAAGAACATCCTTATCAAGTTTTTTGCGAGTGGAACGTCTTTTGTTTTGTACTGAAATGGTATTGTACAGACCTGTAATAAAAAAAATGTATCAACTTTTAAATACCAATTTAGAATTACATAAGAAAGGGAGAGTTGTCCCTCTGGGCAAGTCTCCCTCCTGAGGTATGGGCCAGTCTCCCACACCATTCTGTTTCAGGTTTGGTTCAATTTTCTTAAAAATCATGAATAGTGCACGTTTAACATTTATGGTGCATAAATCTACAATGTCTAATTAATATCCCCACACAAGAATCTAAAACTTACCTTTTAATTTGCTCACAAAATCACGAAATTTGTAAAAGTATTAATTTTTGGTTTAAACGCAAAAAGCCACATGCCTCGGGTCAGATACAAAACAAACTGAGAAAAGTCAACTAGGATTTCGTAGATGCCTAGAAGCACTAGAGGGCGTCCCGTTTTCTCTCGTTTCAGATTATGGTGGGCAATTTTAAAGTAAATACATCACGGAGGGGCAAGTCTCCCACACAGGCAAGTCTCCCGGATTCCCCCTACATTTTTGAGCTGTTGTTACATGTAAAGTCTAATTTAGATGATTTTCCAAAGCTGAACGGCCATAACAGGTACTTAACAAGAAGTTCGCTTATCCTACAGGTTACCACGCACAGATTATCTAGAACCAGTTGTTGTTCAACAAATTGCCAAACACCCTCAAGGCCCAGCCACTCACTATTTTCAAATATGAAATTAAGGCTTTATTAAAAATTCTTCTTCCTATTTTATTAATAGGCTCATGCCTGTTTTACTTCTGTTTTTATCCCCAATTGATGTTGTCTGACCATCTTTTCCTCGGTCGTCCCATTGATCTTCTTCCATTTGGCGATTTGTCTCTTGCTATTCGTACTGTTCTATTTTCTGTCATTCTTTCTATGTGTTGATTCCATTCTATTTTTCTTCTTTTGGTCCACAGGTTTATTTCCTCTATACCACATCTCGCTCGTATTTCCTCACTTCTTACTCTAGCTCTTAGAGTTTGGTTTGTTATTTTTCGTAAGACTTTCTTATTAAAAAGTAAAGCATATTACTCTTTGGATGAGTAACAAGTAACCAGTAGGAGTAGTTCTGATAATATAGTTTATAATAGTTGTGATATCCTATATCTCAATTTCAGCAGTAACGTCCTTATTTATTTTATATTCTATCTTCTTTGAATTTTATTTATCTTATTTATATGGTTATCACATAGCGATATTTTAATCTGAGCCCTCCACGAAGGTTATAAATCCAAAAACAGTCCTTATTTTATCATGATGGTTCCTTAATATCTTTTAACTACATTGCATTTGTATATGATAAAGCAGCTATCTGGAAGTATTTTATAGAAAAAATGAACAAAGTATAACCTTATTTGTACATGCAGCTAAGGACCACAGATGAAAAGGTTCGTTTTTTTTAAATTTAAGAAAAATTCATTATCTCAAAGACGGTGACACTTTTATGTTATATAGGTTAGATTTTGTTATTTGGGAGGTCATATTTAAACACCCCCTCCCGTCGAGTTGAGGCCTAAAAAGCGGAATTGTTAAGCTCTTGACTAAACCAGTTCAAGTGACCTTATCAACAGTTGTATATACCAACTTTCCATCCGTAACAAGCACAATGCCCCTTTGTACTCAGCAATGCGCATTTACGTACACTGCTCTGAGAAAATTGCGCGAATGTAGGTGACCTGGGCCTCCAATTCGATTTACTGTTTCGCAGTGGTCGATTCTAGTGGTAGATGGCGCTTCGCCCTGTCTTATTTTGATAATATGGTATATTTATGTCTTCTTGTACTTAAACGGCACCGGCACCAGCTAGTGTCACCCGACTCGATGTCGTCGAGAGGACCAAGACCCAAGCACTCGCGCTGGCATCTGTGATGTGACATCAAGCGATCACCGGGGCCTCCTTGTCAGTGGCTTGTCTTCGATGATAATGATGCTGATCTTTCATTTCTTCGCAGTCCGTTGCTTCTCCTTGTGCTTTTACTTATGCAAAGACGGTGCTTTGTTATGTATAATTCATCTGCAATGTTTGAAATTCACAGTCCTGTTACATGTGACTGCCGTGAGATCATTGTGTTTCTGCTGGGTGTACAGGGTGTTTTCTAAACTAAACTGCTGTCCGTCGCGGATGTGTTACCGACCGGATAGCATTCCTTTCAACTGCTTCGAGCGTAGCTAGCATAATAAGGGCAACAGCATCAGTCCATAGATATTAGCGCCACTTCCGCCCATCTAACCTAAGCCTTGTCCAAAGTCGAAAATTACCTACCCGTTAGCTCTGAATGAATACACCACATAGGCTCCCGGTAATAAATAATTAATTTATTACAAATATCTTCTAAGAATATGATTGTTTTAGGAGAGGACTAAAAATCTGTCAGCTTTTCACTCATATTGATAAAGTGGTTTTTGGGATATGACCTGTTTTTATAAAAAG